TTTTTATTAAGTTAATTAATTTGGACCGTTGAATTTGAAAAAGATTGAAATCCAACAGCCCAGAATTGAACACGTGGCCAACGGTAATAATTCTAACATTTTCTTCTTCTTTTTTATATATTTTTTTGGGCAAAAATCGTGAACCGGTGATCTAGGAATTAGATGGCCCAGATGTTGTCACGTCACTAGCCGTTGGGTTTAAATTTCAAATTTTTTTTTATTGTTCGAAATACAACGGCCGAAAACGCACCACGTGGCCAAGCCCCGCACCCCTTTAGTGCATTTGAGACGATGGGCCCAGCCGTTTCTTTTCAATTGGGAACGCCCGCATGTTTTCCACGTGCCTGACACAAAAAAAACTATAGGCTTCGATGATTTCATGTTGACGCCAGCATAACGTCAGATAGGCCGGTACATCACTCAGAACATTTTGGACCGGCCAGCATGCTGGCTTGGTGCGCAGGCTTATTTTGCTCAACCGGAGGGGTTTTACATGGTGCCAGCCTATTTTTTAGGCTTTGGACCAACCTAAAAATTTGTGTTGGAGTTGCTCTAAGTTTGGAGTCCAGACCACTAATTTCCAATGGGAATAATAGTAAGTAGACTAATTTTTCATATTAAATGCGCAAATCATTAGATAGATTGTCTTCTTATCATTGCTCTTCGGATGCCCAGACTCAAAATAACTCTCATGGCCCACCCCTTGATTTGAGACCCACCTCTGTCCCATTTTTTGACGAATAAGGATTCTTTCCACATTATTTTTGTGAGGATTCCAGGGATTCGCGTATCTTGTTCGTCTATCGTACATGGTGTATTTAAAAATTATTTTAAATTTGATTATTTAAAATTGAATACAACCAGTACTTGAGGAAAACTGACCGTATGATATATGATGAACGAACACGATTAACAGATTCTCAGGATCCTCATAAAGAGGATCCAGAATCTCGGATTCATTTTTGACCTCATCCTCCATCTTTTGGTCTTGTCTAGTGTCCCCATATAATACCTTCTCTTAAAAGTATGAATAATGAGTCCACATACGACTAAAACGATATGAGTGGGTTTTTTATTTTGGACTCGGGAAGAAGGGAATTGGTAGAGATCAAACTTGCAGCATTATGCATAAACATGATATTTATTTTTGCCACTTCCGTAAAACACCATCTACCGATATGAGTGAGTTTTTTGCGAAAAATATTGATAGTGTTGTTGGCACTCTCTAAGAAGTATCAAGCATTCCAAATAAATAAAATATAGAAATGAAAAGATACTTGACAGAAGTGCAAATCAATAACAACTCCAAAAATATAATGCTATAAATTTTTATTTTAATTTTTTTGAAGCGAATAATACTATAAGAAAAACTACTTAGGAGATCAGAGTTCTTTCAGTTCTAGCCATTTGCCTTAGTTTTGGGTGACTAATATTTTATAAGACAAATGTTGGAGGTGATTGACCAAAACAAATGTTGGTGGTGAAGTGCCATATGGACCATTAAACAATACATTTGTCTCGAACATTTGCTTCTTTAGAAGATTCACTTCTACACCCGAGTCCCGAGGTCTTAAATTCTAATCCGCCCCCCTCCAGTTTATGTGACTTCTAATCAAGGAGTTGTGGGGCCAAGAACTTCAAATCCCGTGTATTTTAAAGAAAACTAATGAAAAATGTTTGAAAGATTTGATTTTTAATAATAAGAATAAAATAAAAGGTAAAATGAATAGTATCAGGATTGACTTTTTAGTGTAAAAATATGGTTTTTTTTTGTTAAAATAAACAGTACCATGAGCTTTTCGTTAAAGTTCCCTATTTTTATGGACAAGGATTGTCTGCCCTCCCACTTCCGGTGCCCTCCCGTGCTCTCTTGTTTGTGTGGTCACGGTTAAGCCACGTCAACATTTTATATTGCTATTCAATTTTGTCTTATTATCTCTATAAAAAAACAATATAAAATGTTGACGTGGCTTAACCGTGACCACACAAAATAGGAGGGCACCGAAAGTGGGAGGGCCGACAATCCTAGTCCATTTTTTATGTCTTTCTTTGACTGCCGGTCATTTCTTTACAAAATTCACAAGCCCATTCACTTTTGTAACTATCTCGTGCCCATGTTTTGAACCGTGAAAACGAGAGGTATATATGCTGAAAATGAAGCCAATTTCTAGCTGCAAACTCTGTACAAATGCATCGGAAGATGCTAGTTGAAGGAATACGTCTATTGGTCAAAATACGTGACTCTAAAGTAAATATGTCGCTCTACTAAGTGACGAGTATATAATGAATGTATAAGGTTTACAATCATCCACCAAGGGTCATACACATGTTGAATGATAACCTTAATTTGGTTGTTTACAAATAGGTTGGCATTCGAGCCTATTTCATCCACCCAATTCATTTGTACGAGAGAGTAAATCTTCATATGTGATCTCTAGTCTAGCAACATCCATCACTAAGATCTTATTACCAAAATTTTTGTTGCACGAAATGATCGAATACTTATTTAGAATCGTGTTATCTTGTCGGCTTTGTGTTACATCCAAAGTCTAGCAAATTTTGAGTTGGACTAACATTAAACAACACACCAGAAATTAAAATAGAAAGCAAAAACCCTAATCATCTCTACAAGACAAGAAGCTGGCTCTGAATTTCCATTAGGGTAATTTAACATAGATGGAGAAAATGCACATAAAGATAGATTAACAAAAGCAAAGACATAATAATCTCATACGTTCAAGAGAACATCCTAATTCTTGCGCAAGTCTCTGAAATAGCCTTTAGGATCACGTTCGAACTCTTCCCTCTGTATGATATCATCTTTTCCAGGAGCTTTCATTGTTTTCTTCTTTCTCTCCGACTCCGAACCAGCTGATGAAACAAGTGCAGATAAACCCCATGCCAGTAGACCAATTCCAGCAGCAGCACTAGCAGCAATTGCACCTACGCTGTACGACGACTCGTTCTCACTTCCCTCCTTTTTCTTCGAGCTCTCCGAACTTTGTTTCGATTCCATATTGCAATCCTGTGAGCATGTACAGTTGGTAAAAGCTATTTAATTTCTGGAGGCATCTTGAAATATTATTTGTTATATGATATCATAACAGTTATATTAAAACAAAAATACTAATACAATTCTTCGGCAAAACCCTACAGAAAATTGAACATCCAAGAACAACTCAAAAAGGTGAAAAGATAACAAGAAACTAAATGGAAAAAAAAATAGAGAGGGGAGAGAGAGAGAGAGAGAGAGAGAGAGAGAGAGAGAGAGAAGAACGTAAATTAATCGCAATGGAAAGAAGATAAGTAAATTAAAGCCATACCATACCAGGATCCAGGGGGGGTTCTTCTTCAAGGTTGGCTCGTCGTGTATAGTAAGTATCAAGGTTCCTGTGAGCAAAACTCATGGTTCGTGATCAATATATAGATAAGTCACGCGCATGCTTGCAAGTCACGTGCTTTCTCTACTTCTGCAAGACGATCGAACCTCGTCAACTGAATCCAGTCAAAAGTCTCTTTCCAATGCATTTGGTTGTTAATGCACGCATGCATCTTTCGAAACTTGTAAACTGAATCAGTCAAAGCCTGTTTCCAATGAATTTGGTTGTTAATGCGCGCATGCATAATTGAATGCATGGTTGGTTTCCTCAAGGAAATAATGGCGGGTTGAATTATGGAGTAAAATTTCATGCATGATTCTTGGTAAAATGAGTTTGAAGTTATGATAGTTATCTAGCAGTATTCCAACTTGATTTTGGTCTCGTAGCTGCAGTGACTTCGCTGGGGACTAAGATTGATTGATCATTCAACACAGATTCAAACCCGTGATCATTGGCACGGTACACCACCACCAAGAAGTTATGTGTCAATAATACAATAACTTGTAAGTTTTTCTCTAAGTGACCTTGTGTCATTAGTAAGGATGTTATCATAACGTATACTCATGTCATGTAAGTTGTTCTCCTTTAGTAAGTATGTTTTAAGTTACATTGTTTGTGTTTCAATTTTATATAACTAACAAGAGTTAACATGTGGTATTAGAGCTTAAGTAATACGATTAAAATCCATAAGATATGAACATGAAATCTGCATATGCTTGTCAAAATAAAATTTGCATGCTAATGGTGGCATAGTATGATGAGGAGCCGTTCGATTGATTGGACTATTCCGATCTTCTTTGAACCTTTTCCCTTCTCTTCATGTCATATCATATGTACGGTTGCGGGTGACATAGGTTGTAGTCATGGGGCATAGGACATGCTTACTTCAGCCATGCTGTGGAGGACATGCTTTTCTTAGGCCATGAAGGTTTTTGTACACCCCATCCCATAAAACGTTATATAACATTGTCCCATTAATAAAGTTGCATCATATGTACACACTAGCAAAAAACAAGCCCCTTAAATATGACTTCTACGACGACACAGGTACACTGCCATAATGGTGCTCATACCAATAATTCAACGTCATATTGAGAGAAATTCGTTTTATTGATATGGAACATCATAGTAATAGTATACATGTATCATATAAATCATCATATTTAGAGAGTACTATTTCATTACATATAAATTTTAGAAAAATTATAAAAAAAACTAATAAAAAGAACTTGAAAATTTTAAATTTTAACGATAAGGACATAATAAAGAGTAAAGTAAATAATATCAAAATTGATTTTTTAGTATAAAAATGTAATTTTTCGTTAAAGTAAACAATACTAAAAACTTTTTGTTGAAGTTCTCAGAATTATTTTCACTCCAAATTACTTCCTGCATATCCTTTTTAATTTTTAAGTTTTTTTTATATTCTACACACCACTAACACTCAATAGAAATTATTAAAAAAATTAAAAGAACATAGGAAAAGTAATTTGAAGTTTGTGAATATAATCCCTCTAAATCTTATCACTGATATAAGTGAAATTCAACAACACAATTATAATCTTTTTAGCTGTAAAACAAAAGATTGACGATCAAAAGCAGCAGAATGTTTGAAATAAATAAATAAAATAATAATTTTACAATAAAAAGAAGAAATAAAAAGAACAAGAGATCATAAGAGGGTTATCGAAAATTAATACAACACCCTAGTACAAAACAGAGGAATGGCAAAGCAAATCCCCTGCAAAGCAACATAAACAACTTGACATGTATAATTGGTCCCCCTATAAGCATCCCCCAGCATGTTGCCGCAAAAGCTCTGGTGACAAATTACAGTAATCTAGATTATATTCTGCAGACATAATCCCCAAGCACGTATTGTTGAACCTCTACCACGAACTATTTGACTAACGATACCCGCAAGGCAAGAAAAAAATGTACTATATATTCAAAACAGACATTAAGGTACATCTGAAGATCTCTTCCGAAAGAATTTCGACGCAGCACACCTCAGCAAGGATCCTTGATTCGTCGCACCAAACAACAGCACCCTTATTTAGCTTGCAGATGATTGGGAAATGGCCTTCTTGACAGCCTCGGCATATGTCCTATGCTGATAGGTGAGGGTTGATTCAAGCAAGTCCCAGAGAGAGGTCTTTGGATTCCAACCTGTCATAGATAGCCCCATTACGTTGTTAGAATGCTGTTAAGTCACATGGGTCAATCAGATTAAAGACGAGTCAAATGAAAGATACATACCAAGCTGCTTGTTGATAATAGTCATGTCAGGTATTCTCTTGTCACTATCATCATATCCCACTCCATAGAATTCTTGAGAGCTAACATCAATGGTGGGTGTCTCCAGTTTTGGTTCGCCACTTACTTTCACATAAACCTGTAATGTATAGGAACATCAATCCTTGTATCCATGTGAATTTAATCAAAATACTGCTAATGCAACTGAATAAACTAAAAAGAAGATGGTATCAAAGACAATTATTCACCTCAGTCATCATTTCACCAAGCTGCCTAACAGTAACTTCATTGTTAGGGTTGCCAACATTGAAGATGTGACCATTGGCCCTAGCAGGATTTTCCTGAGAAAACAGATCACATTACTGAGCAACAACTTTTGCATGCTAAGTATTAATTTGAGCAAAAGATATTTTTTTTTAACTTACGATCATCAACATAACAGCTTCAATAGCATCCTTTATGTAGACAAAAGTTCTCTGAGATTGGCCACCATCTACAAGCTTGAGAGGCTCACGGCGAAGAAGATTCTGTAACCGATGAAAGCAAAGCATGATCACAACACAAATATCGAAATACCAAATAAATAGGGAATTCTACAACAATTCATCTGACATACATTACTGAAGCATGCAAGAACTCTTGGAACACCCTCACTTGGGCCGTCAATGCCAGGAATGAAATCCATCCTAGGTCCAATCCAGTTAAAGGGTCTCACAATGGTAAACTCAAGACCATTTTCCGCACCCTCAGCTGTACACAAGAAGAAATCAAGTCATAATCAGAAACCTATATTACAAATACCAATTCATCATCGACCACTTAAAAGTAGAACAAAGAGATGACTAACCATAAATCAGCCTCTCGATCAATTGCTTTGCGCATGCATAGGACCATCTCTGCTTCTCAATAGATCCAAAAATGCAAGGGGATTCATCTTCTTTAAGCACATAATAAGCAGGATCCTATGAAAACATAGAACAAGAGAAGTAAGTTTTCCGATAACAAAATGCAAACCATACAGCATCAACAAACTTCAATGCCACTTATTGCATTGATCAGTGACTCCATCTGAAAAAATTACATTACAATGTGAAAACATAGAAATGCCTCGCATCTAAAGAAAACTCAAGAGCTAAAAGGAAGGAAGAAAAGGTTAGACAATCACAACCTATATATATGACACAATACTTTTGTTTCCTAGAAAATTTATACCACTATTTTTTAATTGCTTTTACACAGAGCATTATTACTACCATTTCTTCAACCTTCTCAACACTCAAATTCTGTTCCACTAATAGCGCAGTACATTACACCTTAAAGATGCTATGAACCAAAAGCTAAAATGGAATTCCTGGACCAGACAAAAAAATCACTGGACAAAAATTTGACTGGGACATAACCATATATCCCAAAAATGTACAAACCTTGAAGACTTTACATTCTCTCACAACGACCCACCAAACAAAATGAAGCACAACACTAACACTTCAAAGACATTCGCTGAAACAAAATACTAACCATGCACTTGGATCGTGGGTTAGCCGGGCAAAGCCAGGCTTTTGATGCCATGATATCTATATAATAGGCCTGGCCCCTGCCACGCCCAGCCTTCAGACTTTCTTAGAAACACATAATCTATTGACATCAAAACAGAAAAAATAAAAACCTGTTTCTTTACTCTCAAGTCCATACCCAGTATACCCATCAAACCAGATTCTAAATTATTGTTATACATGCAACAAAATGTCAAGGTTTACTGTTGAAAATGTTCTAGATCTACAATTTACAATCTCTAACTAGCATCAGATCCCATAGTAAAACACATGTTTAAGCATTATTAGGGGATAATGCCATACCACCGACACGTAATTGCAGATCCCAAAATCAGAATAATGGAATCAAACCATTTAAATTATGCAAATGAACAACTTTATGATAAAACAAACACCAAGAAAGGCATAGATCTGAAACATGCCGAAGAAAACTAGTAAAGCAAATACATAAAAGAAAATTGAAAAGAAAGGGACAAAGGGGGTACCTGACGAAGAGGGCTATCTTTAGGAAGATAGCTTCCAATGGTTTTCCCATACACTTCACAAGTAGAAAAGTGAATCAAACGCTTGTTGTTTTCGGAGCAGTACTTCACCTAACAATAATTAATCGCAAAAGATAGCAAAATGTAAGGAAAACCCACATCAAATCTCACATCAACTTCAATCAATTCCCACCCCACCAACCCAAAATCCCAAATTTCGCAATCAAATTTCAGTATCCCAAAAACCAAGAAAACAAGAACCAAAACGCAACAGCCCAAAACCCACCACCGGCAGAGCATCGATGAAGTTGCTGTAGATGGTGTCGAGCGGACGGGTGTTGTAGTCTGCCGGAGTACAGATGGCCGCCAGATTAATCGTCTGCGAAAAACCCACAAATCCAAGCCATTCAAAAAGCAAGAAAATTATGCAAAATCAAGAAAAATACCACAAAATCAAGCAAAAAATCGCCATGAAGAACAAAATCGAAGAAATGGGTTGTACCAGATCTGCCATTTTGATGAGGCCTTCGAGGCGCGAGTCCTGCTTGATGTTGAGTCGGTGGAACTGGATACGATCGGACCAGGGGTGCGCGTTCTCGGGCTCAAGCAGGTGCTTGATCTTGTCATTGTAGACGTCCAGAGCCAGGACCTTGTGCGGCGTCTCCGACATCAGCTTCTCGCAGAGGTGGGACCCAATGAACCCTCCGGCTCCGATCATACATATCGTAATGGGCTTTATCGGGTTGCCGTCTAGATCTACTCTCGCCGATGACGCCATTCTCAATGACGACGTTTTGGGTCTGCGGGTTTGTGGGTGCGGTGAGAAAATTGCGTTGCGTGGTGCGAGGACGAGAGAGAGTTTATCGGGAAGAAGGGAAGGAGAATCTGGAGGAAGAAAATGAGAGGGCAGAACGTATATAAAGGAAGTGGGAAATGTGATTGGAAGGGACGGAGTGAAACAGTGAGCTACTCTCCTCTTTACACTCTCAGAGGCTTACTCGCTCTGTGATTGGGCCACGTGTGCGGGTGCTGGGATGAGATCTGGGGTGGGTAGCAGGGGATTGGTGATTTTATTTATTGCTGTATCTCATGATCTCATGTATGCTTAATGGTGATGGTATGTTTTTTTTGACAAGTAATGGAAATTGCCAGGGGAATTAGAGCTGGATTTTGGTTATGCCTCATGGCAATCATGCAGGGTTTGGGTTATTTAATTGCAATTAATAATGTTAATACAGGCAGATTATCTCATTGTCAAATAATCATCCAATTTTCATTCATTTTTTGCTTATAATAGCCAGGATAAATGATTTTTTTTTAATTCTATAATTTTTTTTTTGAACAAACGAGAGTACCTATACTAAAAGGATGGAGGAGTGGATAAACCTCACAATGGATTTGCCATAATATTGTGGTTCAACTTCGTCTTTGGCGAGAAATAAATCTAAGAACTCTTACTTACAAGTAAAGATAAATACCTAAGTGGCATAATATTTATTTTAAAGAAATAATAACATTCATAATACTAATGGGAGTGTCTCCATAGTATAATCCTTAAACTTAGAGACTAAAAGATGAAAGAAAATCATTGTTAATTTTGCAGTCGTTGATCTAAGCAGTAAAAATACAAAAACAAAACTAAAAAAAATTATCATAATCGTTGATCTTCCATCAATAAACAAAAGAAAAAAAATAGCGGGACCCACCACATTGAAAGTTTTACGACATTCTAACAGTCTCATTCACGTGCTTGGAATTCCACCCCCACACAAAATGAATATGGGCCCACCCCGACCCCTCTATTATAGGGACTGGAGTTGTAGCATATTAGAAGCTACGAAGTCCTTAAATATGAGGACATATGGTGATGAGGACAAGTATAGGGACAAGTATTGGAGGTGCTCTAAGATTTTTAGGACTGTAATGTGTATATAAAAGAAAGAATCAAAATACTTGACTGAAATGTTGTATATAAATAAAAGTATTTTTGGTTAATTACCAGTATAATATTGTTGACCCTAGAAACTACCAAGCCTACGTGGCGCGCAGACCGAGTAATTAATGAGCTAACTACGTCCTTCGGTGAATGCGGGGCGTGCCAACTCATCGACCGAGCTCGGCCGAGGAGTAAATTTGTTGATGTTGCGTTGGGTCGCGCTACTGACTTCTGCGTCTTGCGATTGCGGCCAAGAAAGGAACACGTCTCAGCCTCTTGGGCTCTCGAACCTGAAGACAAGGTTACTATTTTTACGAAGCTCAATATCAAATTCGGCTTTCAACGTGCCGAATGTAGTCACTTGTAACACCTCACTTCGCCGAGAAGGCTGATGAGATGACCTCGACCAACAAGGATTCAGAAATCCTTCTCGACCGAGACTTGGATAGATAATCAATCGTTCTCGCCGCAGTGCTGTTGATGCCAACGGAAGATACTGCGAGACCGACTGATTCTACGGTGACAGAGCTATCTATGCCGACTTAAGATATCACCGGTTGCTTCCACAGTGCTGTTGATGCCAACGGAAGATGTGTCAGCGAAAAAAGGAAAAAGAAAAATCACAAGTTGTGAGAATTTGCGCAGGGCAATTTTGTATTGATTTGCAGGGGCTTTTCCTGATGCACAACGTCCCCTATTTATAGTACTGATCCTTGAGTCCGAGTTTAAATCCTACTCGGACTAGGTTTCCCTCTCCGGATCACCTCGACCAGTCCTATATTTACTAGGACTATGAATCTAGTCCTTAGCTAAGCTAGATTCGTTTTCTGGATATCCGATCCCGTCGAGACTCCTCATTGCACTAGGACTTGTCCTAACCGCTCTAGGTTTGGACTCCCACGGGTTGACCGATCCATGGCCCTTTTGCCGCCCGGCCTCCTGGGCCGAGAGTGATCCTACCCTCGGCCCAAACTATTATTTTGGGCCCAAACTATTATTTTGGGCCCAAACAAATATGTAATTAAAATTTGAGAGTTTTACAGTTTTGAATAGATCATTTAATTTCTCATTACTTCACTAAACCTTGAACATTGGAATATATTCAAAGACCCCAATGAGAAAATGAAATGGAGAGCAAGATTGTGAACAAAATTACTTAAACACCCTCACTCACATCATCCACTAGTGAGTTATGAGCTGTCGCCCTTCCAATGCTTACGTGGGTTTGAAATTATAGGAAACCACTTCCTCACGCTATTAATTCCCACGCGCTTCGCTACCCTGCTCTCAATCTCTCTGTATCCCTTTACCACCTTTCTTTTTCGCAATCTCCATTTTCCTTTCATGCGACAAGAAAATTTGTTCCAGGTTGTACCAATCTTGTCACTTAATATCGGTGCTCTTTTTTTACCATTTAGTAGTACGAACTAATGATTTTCTCTTCATTTGTAAGTGAGAGATTTTAGATTCGGTTATCATTAAATGAGAATTTAAATCACATTATTATTAACCTATTGTGGGACTAAGCGCACCCTCCTCTTTAATGTAGATAATATCGTTTGTTTAGAAATTTAAGAAAAATATTGGTGCTCTTTGATTATTTATCAATAATACATGTTCCACGACTTTGAAGAAAAATCCAAGACAACTTTATGCCGGATGAATTTGTATTCGACATTGATTTGGCCATATGGTTTTCGTTGTCATTTTGGGTCGGCTTGATTTGGTTGCTGTTCCACAAAAATTGAGACTGAATATCTTGGTTAGGTGGTCATATGGATGGCAACGGATCAGTTTGGGGATGGAAATGCTATATCCATTCCCATAACCACGAAAACTAACTATATCGATAAACGCAAATTAACCATCGGGTATTATCCATAACCATACCCACCGGATAACAGATTTCCCATCGTTAACGGTTATATTCATATTCGTTAATACAAAAAATATATTCGCCCAATTGACGTATGATAATTTAGTAAATATTAATTTTGTTATTAAATTTTGATGTATAAAATGATTTAATTAATGGATCTTGTGGAACATAAAAATTAAAGCTAAACCTTGATAATGTTGGTTGATCTTTGATATCTCGCATAAATACTATTAAATTCTCATAGATTTTGATTCATATCAAAACTTTTGAACTTTGCCACAAAATGTAACTCTGTTAGGACCTAAATTTACACCATCGGCCCGTGCATTAAAGCCGTTGAGTGAGCATAGCTTCCAACCGTCGGATAAAAAAGTGAAGATCATTTTTGTTAATGTTAAAGGATAATATTAAGGTTTTTATCATAATAATTATCTTAATGTGAATTATCTTGGCTTCTTCTTAAACCAGATAAATGTGATGCAAATAATATCTCTCGCCTACAATTCAAATTAATTAGAGATATTCGGCATACGGCAGTGCATCTACTACTGGATTAATTTCATGCAATTAATCTATGCATGGGATGAAGGTGAAATTATGAGATGGTGATGTGATGTGATTGAGATGATTATATATAGATAAAAAAAGGAGTAGGTTTCAATCTATGTATGGGATGAAGGTGAAATTGTGAGATGGTGATGTGATGTGATTGAGATGATTATATATAGATAAAAAAATGAGTAGGTTTCAGCCTATGTACATGATGGGAAGAACAAATTAGCTGAAGATACTGACGTGGTAATTTTTTGACCATTGATCATGTGATAATGGGATAAAGCCATTATTATTTGGTCAGATGTGGTGTATTTAAATATTAAAGATTTGTGGTGTACGGAGACTCAAGGATTACTGGTAGTCATGATACATCAGAAGACTAAGAGATTATTTTCTAGTAGTCGTGATGTCACATCCCGGCTCGGGCTCCCACCACATCTAGGGCTCAACTCCACCGTAGCATGATATTGTCCGTTTTGAGCCCCGACCACACCCTTATGGTTTTGTTTTTGAAAACTCACACGAGAACTTCCTAGTGGGTCACCCATCATGGGATTGCTCTCGCACGAACTCGCTTAACTTAAGAGTTCTGACGGAACCCGAAGCCAGTGAGCTCCCAAAAAGCCTCGTGCTAGGTAGAGATGAGAATATACATATAAGGCTTACAGGATCCACTCCCTTGGGTGATGTGGGATGTTACAATCCACCTCTTTTAGGGGCCCGATGACCTCGTCGACACTTCCGGCCAGGGATTGGATATAATACCAATTATCACATCTCGGCCCGGGCCTCCACCACATCCCGGGCTCGACTCCACTATAGCACGATATTGTCCGTTTTGGGCCCCGACCATGCCCTCAAGGTTTTGTTTTTGGGAACTCACACGAGAAATTCCCAGTGGGTCACCCATCATGGGATTGCTCTCGCGTGAACTCGCTTAACTGCGAAGTTCCAACGGAACCAGAAGCCAGTGAGCTCCCAAAAGGTCTCATGCTAGGTAGAGATGAGAATATACATATAAGGCTTACAAGATACACTTCCCTGGGCGATGTGGGATGTTACACGTGACACATCAGGAAATTCAGAAATTTACGGCTTATACTATAAGCGAGATCAGCATTATAAATACAGAGGCAGTGACAACGAAAAAATCCCCTCCAATTTAACACACAAACTGCCCTGCGTAAACTCTCACTTTATGCGAAACCTCTTAACAACCTTGAGATTTTTATTTTCTTTTTCCGCCTACACATATTTAGTTTGGATAAGCAGCACTATGAAGGCAACTAATGACATCTTCAGTTTGGATAAACATCACTGTTGCCGTAGAATCAGCCGACTGCAGTATACCTTCAGTTTGGATAAACAACACTGTGTTGAGGCCGACTGGTTATCTATCCAAGTCTCGATATAGAAGGATTTTCGGATCCTTATTGGCAGAGGTCATCTCATTAGCCTTCTCGATGAAGTGAGGTGTTACAGGTTACTACCTTTGGCACATTGAAAGCCGAATTTGATATTGAATTTCG